CTGCTGACCCTTGGGACCCTCTGCTGACCCTTGGGACCCCCTGCTGACCACAGGGACCCCGCAGTTCCCACCCCCCTGTCCCAGCCCCTCCGGCCGCGCCGTTCCTCCTCGCGGCGCCGCCGCCCCGCCTGACGGCGTTCCCCGGCCGCAGGAATACCTCAACAGCATCCTGCAGCACGCCAAGGACTTCAAGGAGTACCACCGGAGCGTCAGCGGGAAGATCCAGAAGCTGACCAAGGCCGTGGCCACCTACCACGCCAACACCGAGCGCGAGCAGAAGAAGGAGAACGAGCGCATCGAGAAGGAGCGGATGCGCCGGCTGATGGTGAGCTGCGGTGGGACCGGCGTGGGGGGCCGGGCCGGGGGGTGCTGAGGGGTCCTGCTGGTGGCCAGGTCACCCCTGGTGTCCCTCAGGGGTCAGCTGTGGTCAGTGCTGTCAAAACACGAAGTGGTTGCACAGAGGTTTGGGGAGTTCAAAGAGAAAAAGGTTCCAGCCTCTGGTATTTTGGGAATTCCAGAGGTGACCGTGGGTTGGAGGATGGAGTCACCACCACATCTCCAACCACACTGGTCCAGAGGTGACCGTGGGTTGGAGGATGGAGTCACCACCTCTCCAACCACACTGGTCCAAAGTCACCACCACATCTCCAACCACACTGGTCCAGAGGTGACCATGGGTTGGAGGATGGAGTCACCACCACCTCTCCAACCACACTGGTCCAAAGTCACCACCTCTCCAACCACACTGGTGAATCCTGTGAAACCGGGAATTCCGGCAATCCTTTGAATTCTGTGAATCCCGTGAAACCGGGAATTCCGGGAATCCTGTGAAATTGGTGATTCTGGGAATCGTGCGGTTCTGGGAATCCTGTGAAATCGGGGATTCTGGGAATCCTGTGAAATCGGGAATTACGGGAATCCTGCGGTTCTGGGAATCCTGTGAACCCGGGGATTCTGGGAATCCTTTGAATTCTGTGAATCCTGTGAAATTGGTGATTCTGGGAATCCTGTGAAACCGGGGATTCTGGGAATCCTGTGAAATTGGGGATTCTGTGAATCCTGTGAACCCAGGGATTCTGGGAATCCTTTGAATTCTGGGAATCCCGTGAAATTGGTGATTCTGGGAATCCTGTGAAATTGGTGATTCTGGGAATCCTTTGAATTGTGTGAATCCTGTGAAATTGGTGATTCTGTGAATCCCGGGAACCCCGTGAGCCTGGGAATTCTGGGAATCCTGCGGTTCTATGAATCCCGTGAGCCCGGGAATCCCGGCAACCCCGTGAACCCGGGAACCCCGTGAACCCGGGAATCCCGTGAACCCCGTGAACCCGGGAACCCCGTGAACCCGTGAGCCCGGGAATCCCGGGAACCCGGGAATCCCGTGAACCCCGTGAACCCGGGAATCCCATGAACCCCGTGAACCCGGGAACCCCGTGAACCCGTGAACCCGGGAATCCCGGGAACCCCGTGAACCCGGGAACCCCGTGAACCCGGGAATCCCATGAACCCCGTGAACCCGGGAATCCCATGAACCCCGTGAACCCGGGAACCCCGTGAACCCGGGAATCCCGGGAGCCCCGTGAACCCGGGAATCCCGGGAGCCCTGCCATCCCCTCAGCCCGCGCCCAGCGGCGTCTCCCGCCCCGGCAGGCCGAGGATGAGGAGGGCTACCGCAAGCTCATCGACCAGAAGAAGGACAAGCGCCTGGCCTACCTGCTGCAGCAGACCGACGAGTACGTGGCCAACCTCACCGAGCTCGTCAGGCAGCACAAGGCGGCCCAGGTGGCCAAGGAGAAGAAGAAGAAGAAGAAGAAGAAGGTGGGATGAAGGACAGACGCCGGGAATGGCTGCTGGAGGGAGCGCCAGGCTGGGCTGCCCAGGCTGAGTCCCCTTCCTTCCTTCCTCTCCTTCCTCCTCCTCCTCTCCATTTCCCTCTTTCCTCCCCTTTGCTCTCTTCATCTGTTCTCCTTCCTCTTCTCCTCTTCCTCTTTTTCCTCTTCTCCTCTTCCTCTCCTTCCTTTTCTCTCCTTCCTTTTCTCTCCTTCCTTTTCTCCTCTTCCTCTCCTTTCTTTTCTCCTCTTCCTCTCCTTCCTCTTCTCTTCCTCTCCTTCCTTTTCTCCTCTTCCTCTTTTTCCTCTTCTCCTCTTCCTCTCCTTCCTCTTCTCTTCCTCTCCTTCCTTTTCTCCTCTTCCTCTCCTTCCT